TGCAGCCTCGCTGAACTGCATGCTGCTCTGGGGGTCTCTGGGTGAGCAAGTCCTTTTGGGCATCCAGGCTGTAGAACAATCAGCCGCAGAGCCCAGGCCAAGCTGTGCATTCTGCTTTCAGCAGACCTCGGAATGGGGAGGTTACAGAGGTCTGGGCTAAATGTCACTGTTGGGATCTGCAGCCAAAGTGAGGAAGGTGGGTGGGCTCTGTGGTGGGTTCCCTTAAACTCTATCAGATGTGGAGGTCCTGAAACAGGTTCCCCAAACCTTTCCAGGCAGCCGTGAGGGGCCAGTCCTTTCTGGCCACAAAGGACCTGCAGGCTCAGGCCCTTTCAATATGACTGGTGAGCCCTGCCCACTGCTGAAGCCCAGGCGGGATGGGGCTGCCCAAACCTTTCCAGGCAGCCGTGAGGGGCCAGTCCTTTCTGGCCACAAAGGACCTGCAGGCCCAGGCCCTTTCAATATGACTGGTGAGCCCTGCCCACTGCTGAAGCCCAGGCGGGATGGGGCTACCCAGGCTGTGCCCTCCTGCCAGCTCCCCTGCTACCCTGGCCTTTCCAGTTCCCTACCAAGTCCCTTGGTCTTAGGATTACCACCCCTTCTGTTGCTGGCTAATTGCCCTGGGTCGTTTGGTAAAACCATTTTTAAAGCAAGTTCACTGTATAAAAACATTAGAATCAAGAGGAAAACCTAAAGGGGGAAAAAAAAGAACCACTCATAATCCCACCCCTTAGGAAGTGCCGGCAGTGAAGGCTGAGTGGACTCATCTCTGGGCTCTCTCTCTGGAGCTCCAGCAGCAGGCCGGGCTCCCTGCTGGGTGCCCCAGGTCTGCTTAAGGTGCTCATCCCGAGGGTAGCCCTGAGGGCAGCAGGAGCAGAGCCAGGCACACTTAGTGCTTTGTTTTCAACTCATAGATCTCAGGAGGTACATGAGGGCCCAAATCTGAGTGTTATGCTGCGAGGGTCTCTATCCTTGGCAGGGAAGTGCCTAGGGCACTTCAGGCTCCTGGCTGGAAGGAGGGGCCACCAGATGCTCCTGTGGCTTCCCAATGTCTTATGAGGTCCCAGGGCCCTCACCCCTCTCTGGTCACCCTCCCGCTGCTAGTGGGCATGGGCTCAGAGCTTCAGGGATGAAAACCAGGCCAGGCTGGCTAGATGGGAGGGGCTGAGGGCAGGCAGGGCTGTCTCCGGAATTCATCTGCTCGCTCCACAAGATATGTATAGATGGTCCCCAACACCTCAGGAGCTTTCAAACACACCCTGGACATCCAAGGGGACCAGAAGCTCAGAGGTGAAGGAAGAAAGCAGGACTTGGGAGACAGTTTCAGAACTCATGGTTTATTGACACTTCAGCATGGCAGGCCCCTGGGAGGAGAACACCTTTCTGGCCCCTTCATCTTGGGGCTTATCCCTATGAACAGGGGACACAGTCATCCTGTCTTGAAACAAGACTCCCCACTGCACAAGAACACAACTCCCAGGAAACCCACTGAGATGTGCACAGATAACCCTTGGTAAGGCCCGCACAGCACATGAACGGCAAAGCTCGGCGCACTTGGCAAAGCCATGGAGCCAGAGCAAGAGCACAGGACTCCGGGGGTTGCCCCCTTTGGGCTATGGATGCAGAATCAAACCAAACACACAGCTTATTTTACACAGGCCTGCCCAGCTTCCCTTTAGCTCGGGTCAGGGCCAGGCCTAGGAATGGCCAGAGCTGTCTTCTCAGCCCTGGGAATACTGCTGAGGTAGCCGGGACGCCCATGCCAGAACTCGCCGTGGCAAGGGAGGGGGAAGAGAACTGGGGGCCCCATGCTGGCCCCCAGTAGTGCAGGAGGAAACACACTGTGGTCACCAGCAGGGCTGGCTGAAAGCTGACCCAAGAGAGCCTGTGCTTCTCCTGTGTGGCCTGGGAACCGCTGGCTCTGTCACCCACACTGTGTCCCCTGCCTCCTTAAAACACACCCATTTCCTATCCTAGATTCTGATTCGAACACCCTGGAGAGCCCTGCTGAGCCCTCCTGTCCCTCCCACCCTGCCGCCTCTGCAGGCCTCCACTCAGATTCAGCCCTACCTGTAAAAGCAGGCCTCCATTTCTCCAGCGTTTGTATTCCATATAAGGCGCTGGCATCTGTAGCTCGTTTCTTTTCCAACCCACTTAATTTCAAGAATAGACACTAATAATACTTAGTCACCCCTCCCCGCTGGCGATGGGGGAGGGGCCCCTAGAGCTGGCAGCATATCCCCAGGACATGCCAGACTCACCTCCAGGGATCCCCTGCACCTCCAGAATTCCAGGGGGTCAGAGCTGCTGCAGACTCAGTGCAACCCCTGTGCCTTACAAAAGGGAAACTGAGGCCCAGAGAGGTGCAATGACTCGCTCAACTCGTACAATGAACTAGCGGCCAAGTTGGGACTTGAGAAGGGGATTAAGATTTCCAGACCAGTATCCCTGGCTAGGGGATCTCTTGGGACTATGCCCTGAAGAGGAAGTGGTCCAGGAGTCTCACAGACTAAAGATGCCTGTAGGCTCCCAGTCCAGCCCCAGTCAAGACGGAAGAGCCCTCCTCTGTTCCCAGGCACTAGCACAGTGCCAGCCCCTGCTTGGTGGGAGAACAAGGGCTCCCTCGGCCCCGTAGCAAGGATGGAGCAGCTCCCAGTGCTGGCACCAGACCTCTGCCAGGGAGGGGCACAGCTGTCCCCACAGCAGCCAGGCTCAGGGGTGGGAATGGCATTTGGACCAGCCCGGGGAAGGGGTTTCCCTGTTGCTGGGCCGTGAGGAGGTCTCCTGGAAGAGCACTGCACCAGGGTATGAATCACCGCACCAAAAGGTATCATCCAAACTACCACTGCGTGAACTTCCACTCTTGGCAGGAATGAACAGAACAAGATTAGCAAAGAAAAGAGAAAAACAGAAGCCAGTAGCTCCCTCCCTCTTCAAGGTCATGCCCATTGGCAGGCAGGTGGTAGTGGCAGGTGAGGCCACATTCCTGTATCTTGCCTAGCCCTGTGCCAAGAGGGCATGAGGGCCCTGGTTTCTGGTCCCCAGAAGGCAGCAGGGCTTCAAATGAAGCCGGGCAGAACTGGGTCATTGCTGGTGGCCCACCATTCTCTGGAGGACAATGACTATTCAAGATGCTTTTCATCAGAAGCCCTTGGGCAAGACACCGACCACAGGGTCTCAAATTCCTTGTCCCCAGGCTGGTTTCCTCCCTTTCTGCTGGACAGCATGCTCACCTCAGGAGGGGCGGGCTCCTGTGCCCCTTCCATGAGTGTGAGAAGGGTGCAGCGGTGCAGACCTCCCTGGGCCCCACAGCCTACAGGCAGACTCTGAAGGCCACCACAAGGCCCTCACTGCCAAGCTCCCCCCGAACACCCAGTCTTCCCCCTCTCCTTACCAAAGCCTTGGCTAAGCCACACACACCCTTCTTGGACCTGCTGGCCTTTGCCTGGAGTAGCACTTCCCATTGCTTGGTCCTTCCCCAGGGAGGTTGCTCCCGAATCCCTCCTGAGTCCCCCTTCCTCACCCCCGGCACCCCTGCCCTCTGCCTGGCACTCTTGCCAAGCCATGCCACTTTTGACCCTACATAAGCTATGTGAGCGC